AGAAGAACATTCCAGGTGCTGAATCAGTTAGTAATAATGTCACTGAGTACATGTCTACTTTACACGAGAATGTAAAGAAGCAGGGTTTAATGATGCTGCAAATGTTTGATGATTTGCATATCCAAGACACCAAGATTAACAATCTCACCATCGCTTTGGAAATGGAGAAAGAATCTGTCAGGGGTGAATGTGAAGACATGTTGTCCAAATGCAGAAATGATTTTAAATTTCAACTTAAGGACACAGAGGAGAACGTACATGTGTTAAACCAAACATTGGCTGAGTTTCTCTTTCCAATGGACGATAAGATGGATAAAATGAGTGAGCAACTAAATGATTTGACTTATGATATGGAGATCCTCCAACCTTTGCTTGAGCAGGGAGCATCACTTAGACAGACAATGACGTCTCAACAACCAAAGGAAGCAGTAGTGATAAGGAAAAAGGTGGAAAGTCTGACCACTGCTGTCAATAGTCTAAATTTTCTCATCAAAGAACTTACAAAAAGGTACAACTTACTTAGAAATGAAGTACAGAGTCGTGGTGATGCCTTAGAAAGACATATTAATGAATATGTCTTAGAAATGGAAGACGGCCTAAATAAGACAATGATTATTATGAACAATGCCATTGACTTCATTCAAGATAACTATGTGCTAAAAGAGACTTTGAGTACTGTTAAGTATAATCCCGAGGTCCATCATAAATGTACCCAAAATATGGAAACTATTTTGGCATTTATTTCTCAATTCCAACATTTGAATGATTCTATTGAGATGTTGGACAATGATAATCAGAGATACAACTTTGTTTTGCAAGTTGCCAAGGCCCTTGCAAATATTCCTAAAGATGAGAAACTAAATCAGTCCAACTTTCAAAAGATTTATGAAATGTTCGATAAAACCACTTCCCAAGTGATAAAATACCAGCAAAATATGAGTCATCTGGAAGAAAAAATACTTGCAGCAACTAAAATTGCCAGAAATTTTGAAACTCGCTTGCAAGGCATTGAATCTAAAGTGACCCAGATGCTGATACCATTTTATATTTCAATTAAAAAAGGCAGTGGAACCACAAATGACAGAAACCAGGCTCTTCAACTGCAGGTGTTAAATTCCAGATTTAAGGCACTGGAAGCAAAATCCATCTATCTTTCAATTAACTTCTCTTTGCTTAACACCACTCTCTATGAAGTTTTAACAGTGTGTCATGATGCATCTATGAGTATATCTGAACTGAATGCTACCATACCTAAGTGGATAAAAGGTTCCCTGCCAGATATGCAGCTTCTTCAGAAAGGTCTGACTGAATTCGTGGAATCAATAATTGAAATAAAAACTCAAGCTGCCATGTCTAATTTAACTTGGTATATAGATCAATCTTTGTCTGGCAGTCTGGGAAATGTGATCAAGTCTCAGAAGCAAGTTAAATCATTGCTGAAGAAACCTGGTACACTTAAGAAACCAACAGTCAATCTTACCACTGTCCTGATAGGCCGGGCTCAGAGAAACACGGACAACATTATATATCCTGGTAAGCTATTACTGTAAAATAACATTTAACCTCTGCTTTGACTTAAATGATACTTAGATCTGTACAGTTTAGCATGACCATAAAATATAAAAGGTGTTTACTTTAACTTACGTAGATGGTCAATTAATACAAAGACACATTCTTTGAATCTGATTCTATCCTATTTCATTTAGGCATCAGTACAAAACAAGCACTTTTAGTGTAAATATTTATGTACATGTTTTTAAACTTTTTCTGGTCAGGCTTCTATAAAACAATCAAATTTGCTCCTACGGAACAATTTTCTTTGCATAAGTAATTAAAGAAAGCTATTAATACATAACGAGATCCTTGATAAATATGACCAGAATTATTCATTTTGGCATATGAGCACAATGTCTGGGGTGCAATAGGAAATCAATAAATATCTGTCGAATGACTGTTTGACAGTGAATGTTCAGGATTTAGATTTGGGTAGATCACAGAAGACCATGACTGCCAAACTAAGGCACTTAGACACAATTTGGTAAAGAATGGGATGTCTATGAAAATTTGGAGCGGTGGGCTGGGTGTGGTAACAACTGTGGCTCAGAGGCATGAAGCTAGGAGTAGGGTGTAGCATGATGGCAGAGGATGAAATTAGGTACCCGTTAGGACATTATTGAATAAATATTGGCAAGAGCAATAAGAGTAAGATCTAAGGAAGGGGTTATTGAAACAGAGGAGACAGATGTGAGAAATGTTGTGAAGGTGTAATCAACAGAAACAGAGACGATGGGAAGACTAAAGACCTGAAGAACATCAAGTCTTGCTTCTGGTGCTACTTGTCTTAGGAAGTCTAGGTATTAGTTAGTAGCTGAAGACAAAAAGTTCACCTGGCTGGGTCTCAGTTTCTTCCTTTTAAGTGATGAGATTCCAGTAGGTGATTTGTTGAGGTCATTAGTAGAAATATGTTGCAGACTGGATCATTGTAAGAAACCATGAGCTATTCACAGCCTGAATGCATGGCACTTGGGGAAGAGAGAGACCTAGACTAATCTGAGGTTTTGAATTTGAGAAAGAAGAGGTTTAACAGATATAAACACCAAGAGGAGGAGCATAAATCTGGGAGGAGAGAGGAATTCAGTATGGTGCATATAAACTGCTCAGTAACGTCTCTGTAAGGAAGTTTTGTGAATATGTCTGGCATATGAGTAATATTAAATAATATTTTCATAACAAAAATAGCTACTGATTCTTACCAAAAAAACAAAGAAAAAAAAGGCTGTGTTTTCCTCTTAGGAGTTGTTGTTAAATTATATGCCCGTTTGAATGAATTTTGTATTTTATTGCTTTTTCATTTACAAAAGGGTCATCAATACTTTAACATGACTCATATTTAGTCTCTAAATGTTTTGATTATATTAAAAAATCACAGAATAATAGAGACTCGAATTCTCTCAACTATTTAAATTAGTATATTTATTTATGATTTCCCCAATTTAATCTCACCTAGGAGGACTAATCTTACCCCTGTGGGAACACAGAACTATTTAGACCTATATATTTCTCAGAGAAATATCTCAATACAAGATGTTCTTATAATATCAACTTTAGGAAAACTAATGAGTTATTGTTTTCCATGCTATTTAAGTCCTTGATATTCATGGGAACACTGCAACATGAGCTTCAGTTAAGCTCTATGGTATGTGTGATCACACACCAGGCAAGCTATGTCATTTTTCTTTTCTTGCACCAAAAAATATCTGGATCTGTACAGTAAGTGTAAAATTTAAATAGCCTCAAAATTAATTGAAGTAAAAAATTTTATAGAACATAAGAACTTATAAACTTTGATAGTATAAAGAATGCATGTTCGGACCTTATAAAAATTAAATTTAGATGCTTATAGTGATTGATGATTATTGGGCAAAATGGGCTAATAATAAGAAATAGCTCAGTTCTGATTCTCTTCATTCCAATGAAGCCTTCATAAAATTGCTTCCTGTTTCTTTACTTACTTTGAGTAGAATTTTTTACAGATCTATCTACCAAAATTAATAATTAATTAAATGTTATTTATTTTATCTTAGTAAAGATACCAATAATGATGTTAGGGCCATAAAGATATATGGCCTAATTCTACGTGCAAGGTAGATATTCACTTTCTGCAGGATGAGCAACATAAGGTGTGGAGCCCTTTGAAGTGGGTGCATAGATTTGCACACCCATTAAGCCATCACTGCTTCCACAGGCCATAAAACTGATGGTGTTCACTGAACAGCTGAGCAGGTAAAGTCTACGCAAGGTGATAAAACTAGTGGACTCAGGCTAATTTCTCCTTTAAAAAAATAAAAGCAAACTAAAGCCAGAAGATAATTTATCATTCTCTTATGAACTGCACGATCATATTATTCAGATCATAACTACTATCATTTGCAAAATAAGTGGTTTGTAGAAAGAAAAGCCATATAAACATAGATTTAAATTTTAATCTTAATTTTAATAACTGATAACTTACTGTGAAGCCTGATAGTACTAATACTATAATAATATGATATAGGATACTATTAATTAACATTTACCATGTCTCAAACACTGTATAAATTATACAATTTACTTCATTTAACGATACCTAGGAGGCAAGTACTACTATTCTTTTTTTTTTGGTGGCTGGCCAGTATGGGGATCTGAACCCTTGACCTTGGTGTTAGAAGGTTGTGCTCTAACCAACTGAGCCAACTGGCCAGCCCTTATTCTTATTTTGAAGATGAGTAAACAACTAATTCTCAGACAGATTAATTAAGTATCCAGCCTAAATTCATGCAACTAGTAAATTCCCAAGCCTGACTCCTGTCTGCGGGACTCAAGGCTCAATCCTCAGCCACTATATTTGAAGAGACTGTAGAGTATGTTCACACGCCTTTCCCTTCCTTCTGTTTGTTTTTCAGAGTCTGGCCATATCTTAATATTCTATATGGCCAGAGCTGATAATCCTAGGAAGTTTCCTTTCTTGCAGAGGCAAGTCCTGACTTATTTCTGCACTGATAATGAGGAAGCAAGGTGCTACTTTTCAGTTTGGCTTGTGATATCAGTTGTGATATGGCCAGTGGGTAGTAATTGAAAGTCACCATCAGTTATTAACAGGATCTTCCTTTGATGTTGAAGAAGGGCAAAATTCAGAGCACTCATCCCTCTCACTTCCTTTTGAGCCAGTTCTACATTCAGTTATGCTAATTCTGATTCCTTGTCGGCCATTGCCGGTAAGCTATTCCGGTTCGATTGCTAAATATTTAATTTGTTTCTAAACAATATTCTAATTGACACCAAGAGGTTTGCATTTCATCTTCGAAGGTTTGTTTGTATAGCAATTGGCAGACTTCTCCCTGCAGAGAGAGTTTGGCTGCTTGCCCTTCCAGAGTAGCTGAGTCCTGCCTTAACGGAATGTCAGCAGCGCCACTGCTGAGCACGTGCGCCTCCTGCTGGAGAGACCATTGACTTTATATTTCAACCATTTCCCCAATATGTACCAATTTAGCCCTCCTTAATAAACCTCTTTTATTCATAATTATCCTTTACTCCTGAGAAAGATTACATTCAATAAAACATTTGGTAGTGTATCAAATGCCACTTTTAAAACTTAGCATTGCTGTGAATTTGAGCATTTAAAAATAAAAATAAAAGCTTAGCAAATATAAATTATTTTATACTGCTTTAAAAACAATTCTAAATTTTGTGACTCTACATAGAGGCAGTTATGATGACTAATAAACAGACTTTGAAATCCGGAAACCAGGGTTCTAGTCCTGCCTGGCAACATATTTGCATGGAATAAGTCATTTATTTTTCTAATCCTTACTTTCTTCATTCATAAAACAAGAGTAACACACTCACCTCACAAGTTTATTTTGAAGATCGAGGAAATAATCTGCATACAGTATATTATTAAGTTAGCTATAATTCTATAATGTAATTTCCTTAGCTATATGCAATATTTATCTTTATTTTCTTAATATTTGACATATAATTATTTTCATACATTAATATAATTTACAGACTCTTGGTATTCCAGTTCCCTGTTTTTGCTTTTGTAAGTTGTTTTAAACTCAGCATATGCTTATAACTTAGCTTATACTTATTATATAATGATAAATCAAAAAGAATAGGATACAAAATATATAAAGACTTAACTGTAAAAAAAATGTGCATTGAGAAGCACTGAGAAAAAAATTGCAAAAAATTTTAAGAATGGTTTTCTCCAGAGATTTTCTGCCATTAATATGATTTTCCATAATATAAAAAATTTTTTCAAATGTACCTCAAGGTAACTAATAAGTTGTCTTATGAACAAAAATATTTGAATATAAGACAATTAAATTTCAAGAACTATCTGCTTGAATTTAGAATTTATATTCTGTTTTAGAAGGTCCTCAAAACCCTGCACAAGTTTGGTGATTCACAAGAAGCACTCTTCGGACTTGGGATATAGTGATGTTCGTGTTCACAGCTAAGATTTATTATGATAAAAAGATACACAATAGGAGGGTAGACACAGTGAATGACTCTTATCAGCTGGGGACTGGAGAGAAGTCACATTCCCAGATGCTGCCCAAGGGCAAAACCTTGCAAGTAGGCCTTTCTAAAGATAGCAGTTTCCAGCCTCCTATGTTAACTCTTCACTGTGCATGATCTTAAAGATACTTTTTTTGTCAGAGTTGGTTGTCAGGCCTCTCTACTAGGGATGGCCTCCCCAATTTGTATCAATAAAATGTATTATTGTTGAAGAGAATATTTAATGAACTACTTTTTGTTCATGGCTCTTTGGGAGAAGAAAAGACTCCCCCAGATTTCCATATGATTCCCCTTCAGATAGAAGGACTATGACAGTTGAAGAGAGAATGCTGACAAAATTCACAACTCTTTCCTCACCTTGTCCTACCACAAAGTGGCCGCTGTATCTAAGGTGAACAGTCAAAAATCAGATGTTTGATGATCACATTTTCTGAAACAAAATTTCTGATACTTGGTTTGACATTAAAAAG